CAACCCAGTACAGCACATGGCAACCGTTCCAGGGGAGCAACAAAGCCAGTATATAAATAACAAGGAGCCTACAAGTTTGTTTGCAAGACCTGGGCACAAAATTCACACTGTCCTGTGCCAAAGTTTCTATGGGGGAACCAGAAGGGGACAAAAATAGGCCTAAGACTGTAGAAGTCAGCCTCGTAGTCGCGTCTGCTTCAAAGGGAGCTTGCCTTGGCTTCCAGCCATTGCAGTCTGCCACCCAACCCACCCCGAGCAGTGCAAAGCAGCAGCCTCAGCGATAACTCTCCTCATTTCAACCTGCGCCTCCATTCAGTATCTTCTGACATGTGACCAAGGAGCATTCATTGGAATTAAACCAAACCTTAAAGGCTAGAGGAGTACCATTGCTCATTCTGTAAACACTCCTCAATCCACATACATGCATAACCATTTTTAGCACTGGTTTTATCCAAGATCTGGGTTCATAAAACCCCAGTAGGCCTATTTTAGTGCTACACACTTTGTTTCCCAAAGTTTTGATACTGGACAATTCTGTTTTGATAGTTAGTTTTGTGTTGATAGTTTCTGCTCATCCCAGCATGTCTCAACATGTGAGAGAGGTCCTTTCCACATCCTAGACCTGCCATCTTTACAGTTCAGTTACCAACTGCATTTTTGAGCAGAAAATGAATCAGATGACAGACCTGGTTAAAGCTATTCCTAACCTGTAGGCTAGGTGTGTGACTTGCAGGGGGCAGACTGAGCTCCGAGCATCAAGGCAGCTGGATTTTCTGGCCAAATGCTCACTTTTCCTGCCATGAGAAGTAAAGGTGGGTTTTTGTTTGTTGTTTGTTTTGGGTTTTGGCCGTCTCGGAACCAAGAGACAAAGATACCTCAATAGCTAATTCATTGTAGCACATGAATCCCTGTCCTGGCAGAGGCCACTGGAAAGCACACAGGACAATGAAGTTCACTTCAAATCTATACAGAAGTATTTAACTAACTGCAGCAAGAAAAAGCCTGAGCTGACAAGGAACACGAGGCTGCCCTCCTCCCTTTCCCTTGGCAGAGGGCAGGCTGCCAGGCAATCATATCTGGCCAGTTCAGTGACCCCAATCACTGGTTTGGCACCTGCTTTAGGCTTCCTACTTTAAATGGGGGTCTCCTTCCGCCCCCCCTTCATTCGGTAACACGCTGCAAGTTCCAGAATTCACCTCCTCGCGGCTTCCAAAGCGTTTCGCTGCTGATGTAACGTTACATAATTGTTCTGACTTGAAAAAGCAGCCAGCTTATCATCCTGGGCCAAATCCCGCATACCTTACAGACGCAGCCTTATGCCTAGAGGGCCTGTAACTCACACGAAGCAGGTCAGCGCGGCCCCTGGCAGTTCCAGGCTACATGACCGAAACACGTTTTAAGCAAGCAAAAGAAAACACAGATGTGTTAGCGAGACAACAAAATTAAAAGATCTTTAGTAAGAGAAAGGCCAAGTTATGTCAGCCACACGCAAAGAGCTCTCCCTACAATCTCACTAGGACTTCTGCTCGAGTAAGGACTGCTAAGAGAGGTCTGTACAGCACGTGGAGAGCAGTGCCACGAGTATATAAGGAACAGAGGAGCCTGAAAGTGCTTCTGTGACACTCGGGGTTAAACAAGAACAAGAATAGAAACACAACAGCTTCCTTCAGCTTCATTTCTTCATCCCCTCCATTTCAGAAGCAGCTCTTTAAAAGGTTGTTTAATTTCATTCATTAAGATTTTTTTTCTTCTTTGAAGAAACAGATGTCCCATTAGCCTTTACACTTTCCTACAAGTTTAAGGAGCTCTTTTCCCCACCTGCACAATCCCTCTTAAATGCCAGTCCAGTTACCCCACAGGCAAAGTACGTGGAGCAATTTAACTTCTGCGGCGCGCACAGCTACATCGCCCTAAAAACCCTCCTGCCATCGTTCAGAAAGCAGCGTGCTCCAATACGCCGTGCCACCAGAGCTCCCTACGTTCACCTACAGGCATCTTACCTTTCCGGCAGCAGATCTGCCGAGAAGAAACGAGACCCTTCCGAAAACGCCCAGACAGTCAGGAAAAAAACCAGCCAAAGTACAAGCCTTGAATGCTGCTCTCCGCTCTAAGACAGCTGTTTAAATATAGTAGGCGACCAGCTCTAAGGGAAGGGAGGTGGAGCTGAAGGGAATGTAGGTGGAGCTAGGAAAATACTTATAAGCATGAGTCAGCACAAATATTCGTTTCTCAGCTTGTGAATGAAGGATGTAGAGTAACTTTCCTTAGGAGTGCTCAGCTGACTACAGGACTAGGGCAAAAGCAGGCTCACAGGAACCATGCATGGCAGAAGTCCAGCACGGAACTCATCTGTTCTTTTCCACTTGTTGCCTTCAGGGCAAATTAAACCCCAGACTTCACAAAACACAGCACTTCCTGTGGTAGAACTGGATTTTTCCTCTGGATTTAAAAAGGAGAGCTGCTACAGCGATAACTGCCGATACGAAAAAAGTGGAAGGACAGCATGGTATACTTGCTTTAAAACTGATAATATTTTTGGCCACAAATGGGAAGGAAATTCGTGACCGCTTTCCCTCCTTTGGGCAGCATTTTGAGTCTTAGTTTCATCTCATCATTAAGAGCAGCTAACACATTGGGATAGCAGACATCAGACAAGTGTGACACATTGCCAGAGCAGGGCTGCCTTCTCCTCCTCTGTATCTGCAGAGGTCCTCAGGCAGAAACTGCTACATAGGAGAAGAGTAAAGTCACACAGAGCTACCAGGCACTGCCGCATTGTCATGTGAATGAAGTTCAAGAGGATTAAATAGCCCAGCACGCAAAGTCCTTGCTCCCTCAATCCCTTCTGATTTCTACTTCTCTGGTATTTATTGACTATAGTACATTTGCTATACCAGGCAATTTAATACGTTATTAGTGGAAATATCCTGCATACAAAGGAAGCCTCCTCATCATCTTCTGGGAAACCAGTGCTCTATGCTGACAATCTTCAACTTTCCATAGCACTGTTCATCTTCGGTTTGCGATAAATTCCATGGGAAAAATCAGCAGCCAGCTGCTGACAAGACCAGGATTAGAACTCTAACTGGACACAGACCTTGCGATAAAATGTGATGAGGTAAAATCCAGGTCCAAATGACAATTTTGAAAGCAAAACAGAATTGTTTAAGCACCTCTGCTTCAAAGAAAAGCTGAGTCAAGATCTTATCTGGAGGCTCCCCAAGTGTCAGTGGTTCTTAAAAAAAAAAAACACCAGCAAGAGTCAGATTGTGCTTAGCTTGCTCTACACAGCATTAAAACTGTAGCTCTTTGCAGGCATATTCAAAACATATTGAGCTTATGTATAATATGTTCATTAAATACATATGGAGTTGTTTGTTCAACATAAGAGTATCTTCTGCTCTTGGCCTTCCTGCCATAGCATCTTTTATATGGAAACCTCTAATATGAATTTTTTTTGCTGTACTCATGGGATAATTACCTTAATTCCAAGAAATTTGTCCTTACATAGCATAGTTAGGGCGAGTCTGAAAATACAGCACTTGTATTTATTTTTCTTCAGTGAGAGAAAGTCTTGCAAGTCTGTTGCATGCAAGTAAAGTGAATGCAGCCACTTCACGAGTAAAACTTACTACAGCATAATAGGATTGTCATTCAAGGGATTTTATTCAATTCAATGGAGTAATCCATTTAAACAATCACCATGAAGTCAGCTAAAATTAAAGTGCTCTTAAATGAAATAGGTTTCCAGCTGAAGTATGCAGTTCAGATATACAACACTTGCTGCTTAAACTATCTCTCAAGCCATTTATTTTGAAACTAAGATCTCCAGGGAGTCAGGAAGACTGCTGATACTCAGTTAAGATGCATATTTTCAATCTAATATCAAAGATGAAAACAACCCGTGAAAAGGAATGCTCTGCTCAAGACCCACATCAAAGTACCATACTGCATAATCTATTTTAACTCCACAAGAATCATATGTTCCAATAAATAGAAAGCCATTGTTTCACTTAAAGCTTTAAGTAGAAGTGACCCTACTGGAAATTTGACTCAGTAAATACCTGTGTCAAAAAGCTCTGTCTAAGGTCTTTTTTTAAGTTGCTTGGACCCTTAGCCAAGGTAGGGAGGACTTGGAGCATTCACACAGTCATCCTGATTCTCTGACAAGAGCAAAGGCTTTTACATGCATTATCCAAATACATATTTATTGTCAGGTAATAGATGTGACCAGTATCACTCAAGGCAAGTTAAACTTTCAGAGAAAACTAAGGCATTTGTTTAGTTAGGTGATTTAAAGCCGCCCTGTTATTAGGTTTTTCAAAGACTATCTTTACTAGAAGGCAGGAGTGCATTTAAGAAAAAGATATCAATAGTCAATGCTTGCCTGTGGCATAGATACAAGAGGAAACCACAGGATGGTCGGACAGGCTTTATAAGGAGTAAATCAGGAATACTTTGTGCGCACATCTGCAGAAATAAAATTTTCTTCTATGTACAAAATGAAGAGATTCACTCTATTTCCCACTAAGTTAAGAAAACCAAGATCTCTTCAATATTACCTCTGCAAATAAGGTCAAAACCACAAGCTCTACCTTTTTTGTAGACAGTATAATTCTTAACAGGAAGATGTTCAAATATGATAACATCTCACTACCCCTTATTTGTTAGGGCAATAGGGCTATTAAATCTATCAACTCTGGGGACTACTTTGTTATTGAGATCCTAATAGGCATACCACACTGGGTATATCTTAATTTTACTCTGATCTGTTTTACCTTGTGTGCCTTGTCTAGAAAGAATAACTCAGCCTAGCATGCTTTGTCTGCTCAAACTTCCCAGTTGAGGAAGTAATTGCATAATCTACATTTGGCCTGGCAGTCAGCCTTTTTGACCTACAGATTTACATGATACTACTTACAGTAAGTCAGGAAGAAAAGGTAAGTAGTATCATTCAGATTAATAAGGGCTCAAGGAGAAAGTTTTTGTGTAGGTTTCAGCAG